CATGTGTGACTTCTCGGCAAGTGCAGAAGATGTAGTATTCCCGATAGAAATATTAAATAAATCGTCAAAACTAAAACTAACAGAAAAAGATGTAGTGGAAGGCACGCCGGTAGTCATTGGAGTGGACGTTGCGAGATTTGGCGATGACAGGACAACTATATGGATAAGGCATGGTAACTTAATATATCCGCCAAGAATATACACAAAGTTAGATACACAAGAAGTAGCCGACAGAATAATGTTTGCAATAAACGACTACAGGCCGGCAATGACATTCATAGATAGTGGAAGTATGGGAGCCGGAGTAATAGACGCACTGCGACATCGTGGATGTTCAAGAATAACAGAAGTAGCATTTGGAAGCAGGGCGTGCCAAGACGACAGATACGAAAATATCCGGGCAGAAATGTACTTCAAACTAAGGGATGCAATGAAAAACGGACTAGCAATTCCCGATGACCAAGTATTAAGAAACGAATTAGCCGTCCAAACATTCAAATTCACAAAGCGGGGCAGAATACGATTAGTATCAAAAGAAGAAATAAAAATAAAATTAGGACGTTCCCCGGACTTGTCGGATGGTTTGGCATTAACATTTGCGCGTGATATATCGTGGGAATTATCCCCGGAAGCCGCAAAATATAAACACAGCAAACTTATGTGTAACACGCAGTACACAATATTGAGCGATAGCAACTTATACGATTTTTAGTTATATATGAAATAATATATTTGTTAGAAAGGAAAGAAAAAATGGGTTTTGGAAAGACGCTAAAAAAAGCGGTAAAAAGTGTAGGTAAAACGGTATCAAGGGTTGCAAAAGAAGTTAAAAGAGTAGGTGGCGATGGATTGAGTGGAGTTAAAACAGTAGTGGGTTCAACCATTGCCGGAGCAGCAGGTTTGGGCGGACTTGTTAGCAAATCAAGAAGCACGGATTCAACAATGGTAGAAGTACCGGAAGTGCAAGTAGACCCTACGGTAACGAATGTGAGCAATGAAAATATAGGTTTAGAAACATTAATGACAAAAAAGCGGCGTAAGCGAGGTTTTCAATCAACATTATCATCAGCAATTCAATCCAGCTCATTGGCAGGCGGAGACCAAACTAAAACAACATTAGGGTAAGTAAAAATGTTTGAAAAAATACAAACAGAAACATTAACAAATTCAATAAAAAGTTTGCCGAGTGATACTATATCACTCAAATTCAAACAACCACAAAAGTCACGACTAAACCAAAAAATCAAAAGCATGTATGACAAAAGGCGTGATTATATTGACAGGTGGGAATCTATAAGAGATTTCCAGTTGCCATATGTGGGCGAATTTGACGAAACAGCAGACAAAACAAATCCCGGAAGAAGAAGAGATTTAAAAATAGTACACGGAGTAGCATGGGAAGCGTGTCAAATATTTGCTGCAGGTGTAATGTCAGGACTTACACCACCAAGCCGTCAATGGTTCAGATTTATGTTCCAAAACAGCGAATTAAACGGGAATGTTGACGCACTGCGAGTATTAGACAAGAGATATGAAATTGTGAGCCATGTGTTGGCACAAAGTAACTTCTATAACTCTGTTCACAGCGTGTATCTAGAATTACCATTTGGGCAGTGTCCTATGGCGGTATTTTATGATCCGTTAAAAGGCGTAAGATTCCAAACTATGACAATAGGCACTTACGCACTTGAAAGTGACGGGTTTGGTAAAGTAACAACATTTGCACGTAAGTATGAAATGACTTTATTGCAATTAGTAGATTTCTTTGGAATAGACGCATTACCTGTAAGCTTACAAAATGCCGCAAGAATAGGTAATGACAATAGCGAAAGGAAATTTATCGTCAATTGGTTAGTAGAGCCAAACGATGAACAAATGCCGGGATACATGAATAACCTAAATATGCCGTATAGATCAGTATATTGGTTAGATAATTCACAAGAAGACGAATACTTATATATCGGCGGTTTTGAAGAATGGGCAATACCAATTGCGCGGTATTTAGTAAATGGATTAGAACCATATGGAAAAGGTCCGGGTTGGTTTGCTGAAGGTGACAGCAAAATGTTACAAGTCCTCAAAAAGGACTACATGACAGCAGTGGAATTGGCAATAAAACCACCAATGAAAGGGCCAAGTAACTTAATGAACAATGGCGGTATAAACTTATTGCCGGGCGGTATGACGCCAGTAGATGACAGCAATCAACAATCAGTACAACCATTATTTGACGTGCAATTAGACCTTAACCATGCCCAACAAGAAATCATAAGGACAGAAGATAAGATTAAACGAGCATATAGTGCTGACTTGTTCTTAATGTTGGATAATTTAGATAAATCAAGAATGACAGCCCGAGAAGTGGTAGAACGGACACAAGAAAAATTGCAGCAGTTAGGACCGGTGGTGGAGCGGTTGCAAGACGAATTTTTAAATGTAATCATTCAAAGGGTATATTCAATACTGGAAAGGTCGGGGGCATTTCCACCAATACCGGAAGAATTGTTAGAAATTATCGGCGATGCAGAAATAAATGTTGATTACATTTCCCCATTAGCACAAGCGCAAAAGATGAGCGGATTAATCAATATTGAGCAAGGTTTAGCAATTGTGACTCAAATGGCACAGGTATGGCCGGAAGTTACAAAAAAAGTAGACCCGATTGGAGCAATAACTAAATACTTTGAGTTGCTTGGAGCACCGGCTGCAATGCAAAGACCAGACAAAGATGTGGCTATGTTGTTAGAACAAGAGCGGCAGAAAATTGCAGAACAGGAAACATTACAAAATAATTTAGTTACGGCACAAGCAGCAGCGCCAATAGCGGAAGCCGCAAAAAATATTGAAGAAGCGACACAAAATGGAAACCCAGCTCTTAATTCATGGATGGGTGTAAGTGGAGGTTTTGAATAATAGCAATGGGATATAAAACAATCACTGAAGCAAACAGCCATCATGCACACATGGCTGAGTTTATTCAAAAAGAATTTCACCGCCGGGATGTGGACGCATTAATGTCTTTGTTAAAAACAGAAAATGGACGTTGGTTTATAATGCGAATGCTAGACCAAACAAATATATATTCAAAAGCATTCTCTGGTAATAGCAGCACATTTTATAACGAAGGTCGGCGAGATGTTGGATTAGGGATTCTATCGTCCATTGATGCTTTGGGATTGGAAGCAATCCAATTAAAGCAACAGGGCGAAATTGAATATATAAAAATAAAATTGCGAGCTCAGGAACTCGCAATAGAAGCAGAGAAAGGAGACCAAATGAATGGATAACGAAAACCCAAGTAATGGAGTTGTTGCTAATACGAAAACACCAGCAACGCACGAAAATCCTGCACAAGGCAATGTAGGTAACAATGTTAACACCAACGACGACGGAGGCAATAGTAACGGCGGCGGCACTATGACAGGAGACGCAAACAATAAGGCAGGTGCAAATCCTGCACAGCCGATTACTTATGACTTCAAAGCAGTAATTCCAGATGATTTAGATTTTAATCAGGAACGAAGCGATAAGTTCGTCGAGGTTATAAAGGACATGAATTTGTCCAATGAACAGGCAAGTGCCATTGTGAAATTTGGCATGGACTGGGGCCATGAAATAGTAAATGACATTGTCAGTGAAATTAAAACTGAAAGGCAGAACTGGAAAGATAACTCTTTAAAAGAACTGGGAGCCGATAAAGACAAAATATTAGCACTTGTTGGTACAGGCGTTGAGTATGTAGAAAAAACGGTACCCGGTATTAGAGCGGCCTTAAACGAAACAGGAGCCGGCGACAGAATAGAGCTCATTAGAGCTTTTGAAATACTCGGCAGGATGTTACAAAGCGACCCGGGGAAAGCTGCAGGCGGCACTGGCAGTGTTGGAACTTCGACTAAAGACCCAATGTATCCAAATACTGATTGGAGCAAATATCAGTAAAAGTAAAAAAAAGGAGATGATTTAAGATGGCTGTAATTGGCTATGCACACACTTTAAATGATTTAAGAAAACAACTTAATCCTGATGGAAGTATTGACAGAGTAATTGAAGTACTTAGTCAATCAAACCCTATTATGCAAGATATACCGTGGACAGAAGGGGACTTACCTATTGGCAACAAGACAACAATTCGCGCATCTTTGCCGAGTCCATCTATTCGCCGCATTAATCGTGGTACTGCTGCAACAAAAGGCACTACCAAACAGATTATTGATGTATGTATGCATTTAGAAGACCGCTCTTGTATCGATGTTGAATTGTTGGCAGGTAAACCTAACCCACAACAATACCGCGCAAGCGAGGATGATGCACATGTGGAAGGCATGGGGCAATATGTTGCTAACATGTTAATGTATGGTGACCTCACCGCAGACGAGGACACATTCAATGGTTTTATGGTTAGATACAACACATTGACGGGGGCCAAAGGTTCAGCTGGTTACCAAGTTATAAGTGCAGGTACTCCGGGAGAGAACACCAATGCCTCTATATTGATTGTCGATTGGGGTGATCGTCGTGTAACCGGTATATATCCTAAAGGTACACAGGCAGGTTTGAAACGGCAAGATTTAGGAGAGGACGATGTTATGGATGCAGATGGTAAGCCTTTCCGTGCGGTTCAAACATTGTATGGTTGGAAATGTGGCTTGGCAGTCCACAATGTTCGCAGTGTTGCTCGTATTTGCAACATTGATGTATCCGGTTTATCGTCTGCCACAGACGCTGCACAGCGTTCGATTATTGATAAATTCATCTATGCTAAAAATCGCATTTGGCAGCCCAAAGCACCAATTTGCTATGTTCCGGAGACGGTTTATGCATGGTTGGAAACTTGGCTCACTCATAAAAATAACGTTCATGTTACACGTCAAGATGTTATGGGTTCAGCTCCGTTACTCCGTTTTGCAGGCATGCCTGTGAAGAAGATGGAATGCATGAGCGAAACAGAAGCAGCAGTGGAATAAACAATAAAAATTATCTAAAGAAAGGAAGAAAACAAAATGATTTTTGACCAAGAGAATATGTTTTTTGATAAAGCATCAAGTGGTGCGACATCTAATGTTATTGCCAATGTTGGCGGTGGTGATGCATCCGACCCTTTGTTTATCACCGCTCATGTTGACACACCCCAAACAGACGAATTGACATTGACATTGCAAACAGCAACAGACAGTTCTTTTACCACCCCTATTGATATGGCATCTTACAAAGTGCCTGTTGGTGGTGTAGGTTTAGTACTCTCTGCAAAAATGCCTTATGGTGCAAAAGATTTCTTACGTTTGACATTGAGTGCAGGCACTGGCTCTTTGGCAGGTAAGATTTCAGCAGGTTTGACAGAAACCGTGCCTAATTGGAAGTTTTAATTAGGTATGGACACAATCAATTTTGATTTAATGTCAATGAATGAGCTTCGCATAATGCTGTATGAAAAGGGCATAGAATACAGAGACGATGCAACACGTGCGGAATTAGTAGAGCTCATCAAAAAGAACAGTTAGGTGAGGGCTGGGGGTTATGTCCTCAGCCCTATTTTTTGGAGGATTTCAAATGTATGTATTAAAAGAAAAATATTCATGCGGCAATCCGAACGGAAAAATATGGAAGCATTTAGTTGGTTCGTCCAAAGAAACAAAGCCAATGAATTTGGCAGGTGGGTCATTGTTTGAGGAATATGACACCGGAGATACTTACCAATTTAACGAAGACGACACTGTTTGGAAAAAAAAAATAGACGGCGGCGGTTCAGTTATTATTGATGAAAAAGAAATAAACGAAAATGGCACATATAATGCGACCGATGAAGGCGCCGATGGTTATGGAAAAGTTATTGTGCAGGTTAGTGGTGGTACTGGTTCTTATGGTTCACTTGATGCAGGCACTAATAACAAAACCTATTATCCGACAGATTATGGTTATGATGCTTTTGATAAAGTAACGGTCAATATTCCTATACAAGCGAATAAAACATTTACAATTACCGATGGAACAAATGTTGAAGTTGTTCCGGATGATGACAATGTGGCAATGGAAAAAGTTACCATAAATGTAATAACTTCTGTTCCAACATTTATCACAAATGGTACAGGACTTGTCGTGGAAAATGGAGTTGCTAAATATGTTAATGTCAATGTACCAAATGAATTAATAGATGTTGAGGATAGTGCAGCAACAGCTGGCACTATCACGACTAATGGCACATACAATTTGCCAAGTTCCAGCGGAACAAATGTTATTGGTTTCAAACCGGGATTTGTTGTTAATGTAGAAAGCGGAGGCGGTGGTTTAACATTTGATGCTGTTATGAGTAATACAATACCGGCGGTAGAAGTCCCAACAAGTTGGACTATTCCTGCAAGCATAACAAGTATAGAAAGTTATAACGGCAGGGACGTTTTTCTTGACGATGAACAGAAAAGCATTCTTGAAACAATATCTCTTGCCAGCGACCATACAGGTTTAACACATTTAGGGGAGTCAGCTTTTTCACGTTTTAGTTCATTGAGAGAAATAAATTGTGTTGTTCCGGTTGATAGTTCTCGAGGTGGTAGCATAGCAAAAGAAGTATTTAGAGAGACAAATTTAACCGAAGTAACATTTAATTCTACCGTCAAATATATGTATGATTCTTGTTTATACGGTTTACATTCAAATGAATTTGAGTCAGAAGACATCACTAACGAAGAGTACATAATCGGTGCAATAGTTTATAAGTTTCATAAAAATGCCCAAGAGGACGAAGATGTATTTACACATAATGCACCGGATGTGGAAATAGGCAGTGGTATGGCTCTTTATGAGTATAAACGTAAAGGAGTATCGGAAGAAGATACTATTTATGTAGAGTCGCAGGCGGACGGTGAATTTTCAGAAGACCCAGAAAAGGAACACGGTTATTATTGGTGGGTACATTATGAAGGAGACAAGGAACAAATAGAAAAAATCGATTTCCCTAAATTATATAATGCCGATGGTTCTGATTATACAGGATGGCGTTGGGGTTGGGGACAAAAAGAAAGGAGAGAAGACGAACACCTTATACAGGTAACATTAGAATATGAAGGTGGATGGTGGGATTTAGAAGAGTGGGGAAAAATCGGCGGCGATAAAAAATATGGCTTTATCGTAAATCCGGAGCTCTTTGATTCAGATGACAATCCGTATTCAGGCACATATTGGAAAACGGAATTGCAAGAGTATGAAGGAAACGAATATTACTTCATAAATCGCGATGATAGTTATGAAGCCATAGAATGTTCAGTAATTAGTCACGATGATGATGATGGACATCAGTTTGCAGATTCTAATGTTGCTTTATATAATTTGCCAAACCTTGTTAAGGTTGCGAGGCATATGTTTGCCGATAACGATAACTTAGAAAGCATTACTTTGGACAGCGTAACACATGTTGCAGGTTATGCTTTTGCTAACAGCGGTATGCAAACATTATCACTCAAACATTGTGAATTCTTTGATTGCACGGCATTAGAAAATTGCCCAATAACAGAAATTGATTTTTCTCTTGCGTCAAAAGTAGTGAAACTTCGTTATGCGGATAATTTTCCAGATACGGGTGAAAGTGTAACCGTGAAAGTACCTGCTCAATTAGAACAGGATTTTAGGGACAATGCTGAATGGCAGAAGATACTTGATAGGGTAAATTTGGTTGGGGTGTAATCAATGGAACAACTGATTTGGCAAATGTTAGGTAACATTGTAGATGCACGCACGCTGCTTATATTAGCAGGGCTTTATGTCATATACCGCAAGTTAGGGACGTTGGAATATGGGGTACGGAGCGGACTATTGGCACACATCACCCGTATCCATTCTGCCACGACCAAGAATAATTACATCAGCAAAGATACTTTCCAAATCGTAACCGAGTGTTATACCCAATACAAGAGTTTAGGTGGTAATGGTTACGCAGACAAACTTATGGAAGATATAAAGGGGTTACATTTCAAAGGACAGGGAAAATGAAGTTGTTGGAAATCTTGGAGCGTGCATTGCCCACACTCCAAGAAATTATGCCCAAGAAAATGTTATGGTCAATTATATTATTTCACTACGGCTTACAAGTTGTGGTGGTAATAATCTATATCATTGATTGGCTCATAAACAAAGGGCAGAGGCAGGAGTTGTTGGAACTATTGCAAATTTTGCAATAGTTGTAAAGTATCACTTGACAACAATTTAAGAAAAAATGTAATTTTTGCCTTTAAAAAGTCAAAAAAAAATGTAGGTATTTTTAGAATACCTTTATGAAGTGGAGGAATTATGGAGTATTTCACTAACAAAGAACTTGAATGTCATTGCTGTCATACATTAAAGATTAGTCCAATATTAAGGCAACGGCTGAACAAGTTACGTGAATTATGGGGTAAACCCATATACATTAGTGATGCATATCGTTGTCCTAAGCATAATGAAGAAGTTGGTGGAAGTCCTAACAGCCAGCATATGTTGGGCAATGGTGCAGACATTTACGTTGGAAGCCCAACGAAATATGACACAAAAGAATATCATACGTTCTATGGCTTTGTGCTAGGAACACGTTTATTTGACGGAGTTGGTTATTATGAGAGAAAAGAGTTTATCCACGTTGATGTTAGGGATGGTGGACTTCATCCGAACAAGTATCAATGGAAAGGTTAAGGGAAATGGTACGAGTATTGTCGTTTATATTATCTGCTTTATTGCTGGTGCAGCCATTGGCTTTGGCATCGGATTTTTTGATAACGGAACAGCAGTTACAGAGGTTAGAGAAAAACTTAATAACGCTAAAAACGTTCAACGCACAATTACAGACACAAGTAGAAGCATTAACAAAGACCTGTCAACAGCAGGAGCAGTCATTGACGAGTGCATCAATATCATTAGAGAAGTACGCAAAAGTCCAACACAGAAAAATCAATGAGTTAAAACTGCAACGAAATCTGTTTGTGGTTGGTATATGTTGCTTAATCTTTACAAAAAGATAAACATCAGGAAAGGGGGATAAACAAATGAGCTTTTTCAAAAATAAAACTGTACGGTTGATAGCAAGCATTTTATTTGCAATCAGTGTATTGGTTTTAATGCTTGGCGGAATTGCACCAGAGTCAATGGTTGACATGATCACTAAATTGGTAGCATTCCTTTCTGCAGTCGTCGATATCGTTGCAGCAATCATTGCTTGGATAACCGGCGCAGAGAAATAACAAAAAACACCCGCCAAAAATGACGGGTGTTCTTGATACCATTTGTAATCACAGGGAATTACAATTCTTTTTATCTACCGTAGTAGAAATTGTAAATATTATACGGCAATAAAATATAAATGTCAAGGGGGGAAAAATGGCAAATATCACTGATGTATGCAATATGGCATTAAGCTTTTTAGGAAAAAGCAGAATAACAAATATTGATGAGCAAACTGAACCTGCACGTCAATGTAAGTTAATGTACGGTTTAACAAAAGAACATTTACTGCGGCACTATGATTGGGGCTTTGCAAAAAAAATAACATCATTGCCAGAATTGGAAACGAAACATCCACGTTGGCAACACGTATATTCTTATCCAAATAAATGTGTTCGCATCATGAAGATATACAATGAAGATGGTATTGCTATTGATGCAGAAAATGACAAACAAAAATATGAATTATTCATGGCTAACGATAATCAGGTAGCGTTGGGCTGTAACATTCCTTTGGCATATGCCGAGTATATTTATGATATTGATGATATTAATGTCGTGCCGAGTGACTTTTTGGAGGCGTTCGCTCACATGTTGGCTGCTAATATAGCAATACCATTAACAGGAAGTCAGGAATTGAAAAACATGGAATATCAACTTGCCACCGTGGCTTTGCAAGATGCGAGATATCACTCTGCAATGGAACGTAAAAAAGATCCGGTTTATCCTGATAGTTATGTGAAAGCGAGGTATTGATAACATGGCAGGTGGAGTTTCAGCATATTATCATTTACAATGTGCATTTAATGCAGGGGAAATATCGCCGGAAGTGGCTAATCAAGTGACTCTTGATAAATATCAATATGCATTACTTAAAGCAGAAAACGCAGTTATTCGTCCGGCTGGTCCAGTATATAAGAGGCCAGGTACAGAATACATAGATACAATAGACCCAGACGGTTTGGGCGACTTCATTTCTATGGTAGAATACAGAATAACAAACGAAGACCTGTTGCGTGATGGTGGTAGAGATTATAGTATCTTGGTGATTATTGGCACCAATAACATATATGCTTATAAAAAAGGACGCTATATCGCTCATTGTGCATCACCATTCAGTAATCGTTCGGCTAATCTCTATAATAAATTAAGATTTTCACAGAGCGGCGAATTGCTATTTATTGCAAGCGGATATTATCCATTAAAAGTTTTGAGAATATATATGGCTCCTCAAGCAGTACAGCCGACTATGACTTGTACTAATTACAACATAACATCGCCATATTTCTCTGATGAAGGTATTAATGTTAGTGACAATTTCAAGATGCATGTTTCAGCAACAACAGGGAATAGTGTTAATTTAGTAGCAAACGAAGACATATTCATTAGTTCTCCAGAGGAAGACACAATGGTTGGAGCAAAATTTCGTCTGACACATATGGTTGATAGTGTAAGCGTCAGCAAGACATTCAATAGTACCAGTACAAGCGGCAATGTTACCGTTGGCAGTAGTTGGAAGATAATAACAAGTGGCACTTGGGATGGTGTCATGAAAATACAGGCATCTTATGACAATGGTACTTCTTGGCATGACTACAGGCAATACAACAGCAAATCAAATTTCAATGTAACAGAAAGTGGTACGGTCACCGAAGAAACGTTGTTGAGAATGTCATACACACATACTTCCGGAAGTTGCACGGCGGTATTAACGGCATTGCCTTATGAACATGCAGGAATTATCCAAATCACGAGTATAACAAACGCACGTAATGCAATAGGTAATGTGATTAAATCTTTTGCATATACAACAGATACACATATTGTTGCAATGGATATGTTCACAAATAACTATTCTGGATATCCGGGTACCGTTTCTTTCTTTCAAGATAGATTGTGTTTTGGCGGAACAAAGAGATTTCCCTATATGATATGGATGAGCAAAAGCGGGGATTATCCAAATTTTAGCGTGGAAAAAGCGGGCGGAACATTGACAGATGATAGTGCTATCGCAATATCTTTAATATCAAGACAACAATTCAATATTAAGTTTTTGTCGGTGGCAACAGATATGTTTATATTCACTAACGGCAACGAATGGGTAATAGATGGAAGCACAACCGTCACTCCCACGAAGATACAAACTAAATTACAAACATCACGAGGGAGCTATGATGCAGAGCCATTACTAATAGGCAACAAACACATATTTGTCGAGGCATTAGGTAATAATGTTAGAGAGGTTGGTTATGACTTTAATAGTGATAGTTACACCGGGGACAATTTAAACATATTGGCTTCTCACATTACAGCAGAAGACAAATTGAACATGATGTCTTACAAAAATGAACCTGATAGTATCATCTTTTTTAAGCCGTCTAATAGTAATTCTTTGAATAGCAAAACTTACGGTAAATTGATGTGTTTAACCTATATTCCAGAGCAGAAGGTCTACGCATGGAGCACTATGCAAACAAACGGCGGAATAATGGGTATTTGCTCTTGTCGAGATGTCAAAGACGACCCCAATAGAACAGCAGATTATATATATATGTTAACTGAACGGAACGGCATCATATATTTAGAGCGATTTGCCAATAATGACAATACAAGCACTAATCCTAATGATTACTGCATGTTAGATTGTTCTAAAAAGTTTAATTACTCAACACCACAAACTACTTTTCAAATATCGCATTTACCTAACACAATAGTTACGGTATTAGGTGATGGACGTGCTTATCCAAATTTAACAACAGATGCCGCAGGTAATGTTACAATCCCGGGTGCCGGAGTCAAGGTTGCTCGCATTGGTTTGGCATATACACTTAATTTGGAACTGCCAAACATAGAGAACCGAACAAGTGATGGCACAATGCAAGGAAGAGAGAAGCACATATCTAACTGCATATTACGATTAAGCAACACTCTTGGAGGTTATGTTGGGCGTGATTTTAATGTTCAGGACGAGATTAAATATGACGAAATATTAAGTGTAGATAATATTAAATTATTTACCGGTGACAAAAGAATATCGTTGCCAATGGGTGGGTTTGATATTGAAGGGCGTATTACAATAACGAGCAGTTCCCCTTATCCTTTTAATTTATTAATGGCAGTAAGAGTGGTGACTTTTGGTGGATAAATTTTTCTTAAAAACTACATATATTTATAAAAATGAGATGTCAACAGAATATTACACGGATAAACTTTTAAAAGACATAAGGGAGACCGATTTGCTTGATATACCACCGGAGTGTGATTTAAGAAAAGTCATCACAGAAAGCATAAAACTTTCGGATGAAGTTTATGTATATTTTGACATCAAAATGAATTTATTATGTATTGCAGGGTTAACATTGCCGAGTAAAAATAATATAGGCAGGGAAATATGGATGTTGGCGACTAAACATATTTATGAATACAAAAAAGAAATTTTAATTAAAGAAAGCAAAAAACTCATAAAAGAATGGGTTGACAAATATTGCCTTTTAACAAATATGGTAAACATAAAAAACACAAAATCTATAAATTGGTTGCAACATTTTGGTGCGGTGTTTTTGCCTGACACGGTTCAGGCAGGGTCATCCACGTTTAGAGAATTTTATATAGCGAAAGAAGGGGGAGTTAAACATGTGTAGTCCAACAGCGGCTATGGTCGGAGTGCAAGTTCTTAAGGGTTATAAAGATGCAAAACAAATCAATGATCAGTATGTTGCACAAAGACGAATGTACGAGGCGCAAGAGCGTGCCGTAAGGCAAAATTCGGAAATTGTCAAAAAAGCAAACGAAAGAGTTGCGGAGAATTATGCACGTGACCAAAAGAAACTAAACGACAGATTAAAATTAGTTAGGGGGCAACAAGCGGCCGCGGCAGGTGCGAGTGGTATTAGCGGAAACAGCGGCTCTTTACTTGATGCCGCAAGTGCAGCAAATGATGAGTGGCGTGACGCATCTTTTGATTTGTTACGCAAACAAAGAGAGGACACATGGGCGAACTTTGTGCAGGCAGCAAACTATGATGCTCAAGCTAATATTTATGACTCATTAGAGGAACAAAACAAAGCAGCAAGAAAAAAAGCGATGTTGGGTTCAATTATTGGGAGTGCTTTTTCTATATATGGTGCTGCCACTGGTCAAAGTTTGGCAAATACTGTTAGTGGATTATTTGGCGGAGGCACTAATAATAACAGCAACACAGGCGGATTTTACACTGCCACTCCAAATGGCACAATATCGTTGTATGGCACTAACACCAATAATTACGGAACAAGTATTGGCGGAAGCACTTTATATGGCAGTACAGGCATATATGATAATAGTTGGTTAAGTACTACCAAGAAGAAAAACACTATTACTTTATTTTAAGAAAGAGGTATTAAAGAATGGTACAAGTCACAGAAAATACAATTATATATTTAGGGAATGGCTCAACGACAGAATTTCCGTATACATTCCAAATCATAGACCCTACAGACATTAAAGTATATATTGTTAATCCTGAGGGTGTGGAAACACTAATCACAAGTGATTATTATGTTGATATGAGTCAACAAGAGGTGCATTACCCAGGGTATGCTCCGGGTGCCGCAGAGCCGGGCAGTGAGACACCACCAATATTGCCGGTTGGTTGGAAGATTATACTTTATAGACAATTACCGATTGACCAACAAAGTGTTTTAGATAACAACTGGCCTTTCAAAGAAATAGAACACATGGTGGACAAAAGCCGCATCATTGAACAACAATTGGCTGGCGACCTAAAACGTGCATTAAAGATTTCATTGCAGTTTCCCAATTTAGACATTACCGTTCCGGTCGGTGCAAATAAATCATTGCGTTGGAATAGTGACGGCACCAAGCTGGAATTGACGGTTGACCCTGCCGATGTATTACCTGTTGCACAATCCTTATTAGCGGCGACTCAAGCGGCACGAGATGCATTGCTTATGCGTCCCGGGTATTTGGCGGTTGAGAGCAGTATAGATAAGATAGACACTATTGCTGCTGATTTGACTAATCTTGATAATGTTGCAGATAATATTGCGGTTATTGCTCCCGTTGGTGCAGCAATTGACCAAGTCGAAGAAGTTGCAGATGACTTGGCAAAAATAAACGGCGTACATGATAATTTGAACAATATAAACGCTGTATATTCAATTAAAGATGATATATCGGCGGTTGCAGAAATTAGTTTAGATGTATCTAATGTTAGTACCATTAAAACCGATATTCAGTCGGTTGCCACAAATATAGATAATATTATTAATGTAGCAGGCAATCTTGCCCCGGTAAAAATCGTTGGTGACAACATTAATTCCATTCTTACGGTTAACAGCAATTTGCCAAACATTAATGTTGTTGCTAACAATAAAGCAAACATCGATAATGTTGCAACAAACATCACCGGTGTTAATACCGTTGCCACAAACATGAATAATGTATTGGTTGTTGCTAACAGCAAAGCAAATATTGATGCAGTGGCATTAAATAAAACTAATATAGATACTATTGCAACAAATTTAACATCTATTCAAGCGGTAGTAAGTAATTTGCCTGCAATTTTGGCTGCACTTGATTATGCATTACTTGCCAAGCAATGGGCAATAGGTGATCCAACAGAACCGGAAGACGGCAGTGCGAAATATTGGGCATTTCAATCACATGCCGACCAGATGCAGGCAGATTGGGATGTTACAGACCCGACTGATGTCAGGTACATAAAAAATAAACCTGCAAAATTACCAGAAGACCATAGCGATGTAACGACGAAATATGGCGGTGGCACCAATGAGAAGTATGGGCATGTAAGGTTGTTAGATAATATTATACATGCTTGGGCGACTCCAGCATCTTTTCCTGTTGCATATTGTAAAGGCATAACTTATGGTAATAATAAATTTGTTGCTGTTGGAGCTAATGGAATGATTACCACATCTAATGATGGCATTCTTTGGTCAGAACCGGTACAGGTTAGTACCAATCAATGGCAATGTGTAACTTACGGTAATAATAAATTTGTTGCCGTTGCAAATGGTGGCTTGTCTGCAACTTCAATTGATGGGATTAACTGGACTATACACAGCTATTATTCAACACCTAATAGGAAAGGCATTTCTTACGGTAACAATCGTTTTGTTGTAGTTGGGCAAGACGCTTGGCTTGGGAAAGCTTCCGTTTTCTACTCTTCTGATGGCACAACTTGGACTAATGGCAATGTATCTCGTATTGAGGGTTATTCTGACTTACACAGCGTAACTTACGGTAATAATAAATTTGTTGCCGTTGGAGCTAATGGAATGATTACCACATCTAATGATGGCATTCTTTGGGCAGAACCGATACAGGTTAGTACTATTCAATGGCAATGTGTAACTTACGGTAATAATAAATTTGTTGCCGTTGGAGCTAATGGAATGATTACCACATCTAATGATGGCATTCTTTGGTCAGAACCGGTACAGGTTAGTACTATTCAATGGCAATGTGTAACTTACGGTAATAATAAATTTGTTGCCGTTGGAGCTAATGGAATGATTACCACATCTAATGATGGCATTCTTTGGTCAGAACCGATACAGGTTAGTACCAATCAATGGCAATGTGTAATATATGGTAATAATAAATTTGTTGCTGTTACAAATGGTGCTAATGGATTTTCGTCTTATTGGATGGTGACATTTATATCATCCACCCTTTCTCTTGAGGGGTTAAAAGCATTGGCACAATCAATAACTTATATTGACGGAACAGGAGCAACCGTAACAAAGAAATTTTTAGTATTACCTGATGACTGAAAGGAGCAAAAATGAAACTAGATGGATATAGTGCGAATAGTGGAGGTTTTTCCGGCAAAACTCCAACCGTGACAGCGATTAACAATCTAAACGCATATAAAAACGAAAATGGCACAGGGGTAGGATTAGAAGCAATGGCTAATGGTTTGGCACTCTATGCCCAATTCAAGGCACGCCACGATGATGAAGAAGATAGGACAGCCATTATTAATGCAATGGATGTCTATAATCGTGGGCGGTACAATATTATGTATAATAAGGACACAGGACTTATGCACACGGCAGGCGAAGGTGCGAGTGGTATTACTCAGGCATACACTAATCAAGACAAAGAACTGCAACAATCAATTTTGAGTAATACAAAATTACACAGCGAGAAAAATAAAAATGCACTTATTGGACTAATGGCGCGAGGGAGTCGTCAGGGTTACGAGCAAGTTGATAAATGGC